GCCCTCGGCGTCGACCTTTGGACGCGCGCTCGGACGCGCCTTCGTCGCCCGACGTCTCGCGCGCGCCGCCGCGGCGTCCACCGCATCGGCCTCGCTTGTAGGCCTGGAAGTGGGCGCCAACACCAACGCAGGGGGTTGCCTCCACAGGGGGAAGCTGATCCTGGATTTCGATGTTGGAAGTAATAGTTCGGCCACCCTGGAAGCCAGAATATTTCCACCACCACCGAGATCAGGATCGTCTTCCCTCGGTGGAGGCACACCGCCGATATGGGTGCTGGCGTCCACCTCTGGGCCTGCGACTCGCCGTTCAGCCCCTCCGCCCTCCCAGGCTCGGCCGCCAACCACGCCCACACAGTCGGCCACTGCACCCCCGATAGCGCTGGAGAGAGAGAGAGAGAGAGAGAGACCGCTCGGAGGCCAGGAGAAGAGGGCACGCTCGTCGGCGCGCGGGGCCACCCGCTCCACCCGGACCTCTCCCTCACCACAGCCCGCCCGGAGGCGCAACCGTCGCGCGTGCCCCGCCGCGCCTCCTTGTGGCATCTGCCGCCTGCCTGGCTCGGCGCGTCGGACTCCGCCTGCCGCGGCCCGTGCTCCGCCGCGGAGTGCGGAGCACCGAAAGGCCGACTCGAGAGCCAGAACGCACGCCGTAGGTCTCCCGCGCGTCAGCCTGCTGGCAAGACCAACTGGCCCCCTCCAAGACAAGCCCCAACAAGTAAGAAACAACAGCGTTGGCATAGGGCAGGTGTCGGTCGGACCGCGCGTAGGACAGCAACCCGCCCCGCCATGCCCGCAATCTGAATTGGCCCCCCAAAGGGGAACTGGACAACCGACCATCCACATCTCCTGAGTTCTGGCTAACTCGGGGCCGTACCAGACCCAGTGTAACATATAATGCGCTAGAAACTTTGGTCGGGCCCCCAATCGCCCATGATTGCACCTGCAACATACTCTGCGCAACGAGGCACAGGTGGAGTCAGGGGAATCCCCCCAGAGGCCTCAAAGTAGCCCCAGCCCTGCCGCCCTGCTCCAGGCAGGCCCCTGTCTCGAAGAAAAGAACGCACATGAGCTGGATCAGGATCCCAAGTCGGCTCAGGCTGGTCGTGGACATGTTGATATGATTCAGGACACTCGTAGGGCTCGTGCCCCAAGGCGGCCGTCGTGGCCGAGCACCAGTAGCACGCCGAGAAAATGCGGCGGCCAGCACAAGCCAGTCGCGAGACCACAGCGCACCCAGGATGCTTTTCAACTGCCTTTCCTCCTCCAGTACATCTCCTGAATGTCCTCGTCCACGTGGTCGCCCCGCCCCCGCGCGTGCGCCCCTGCGGCGTTGCCGGATCCGCGCCGCCAGCTGGCGCTCGCAACCCTGACGCACGAGCTCCTCAATCGATCGCGGAGGCAGCCGCAAAGGAAGGAACCCGAGTCACCTACGAGAGCCGCGATGGAAAGCGTGCACCAGCCAACCCTTGAAAAGGCTCAAAATGGGGACTGAGATGGGGCCTCTTAGTAGCAACCCAAGCGGGCCGATCGCTGATCACGTCGTGCCCCGTTTGCCAAGCCTTCTGGAACATGACAAGACTAAACCTCTGGTCCCAGATAAACGACGCGCACGCCCTGATGGGGTGCCAGAGTAGAGCCGTGGATCGGGCCGCACATGGCGTCAGCCTGCGTGGCAAGAAAAAAGCGTTATATACGAAGACTTACTCGTTCGCCCCGGATGCTGGCGTCAATTCTGCGCGCCGCAACACGGCGGCGCGATTGCTAGCGCGTCGTCGCAACATCTTAAGTCTAGGGAACCCCTCTTCTAGCGGCATCCGGCGCGCTTTGGCTTGCTCTCTCGCTGGCCTAGGCCCGCTCAGCCCACGCAGAGCACCCAAGATCTCGAGCCCGAGACTTGGCCTTCAACTGGATCCTCTGAGCAAGCCTTCCTAAACAATACGTGCATGGAGCAAACGCGGCAACCCACCCCGACTTCTGGACCTGTGACAGGAGCAACAACGTAGACGCGTCCTCGACGAAGCCCTGGGCCCCCCTGCAGAGCTTCGCCGCTGGGCCCCTGTTGCGCCCCACCGTGTATCGACATAATGTTGCGCCACTTTTACCGCGCGCGGTCAGCCATGCTGCGTTGCCCCCCCCCCCCCCCGGATCTCAGTGGACGCGCGGCGGAGATCCCTTGACCCCCCCCCCAGGGGCTCTCGACAGAACGACGCGCCGCCGAGCTGCTTCAACGACCCCAGGCCGCAGCCAATATTCTGAATTTTCTTTGGGGGCGAACGTCCAGCGCAAAAGTGGCGCGCGTTCCTGAAGAAGCCAGCAGGTGCGACATGTTGTCGACGCCCTGCATCCTTTACAAAATCGAATCGCCAACCGGAGCTCCAGGACCTCCTCCGGGGCAACTGCGCTGAACCTCACGCGCAGCCCCGCGCGCGAGCATGGGAAGGGGGGGGGGCGGCAGCGCGCGCGCATCCCGCCAGCGCCGACAAAAACTTACTCCGACACCCGAGCCCGCGCATTACCTTCGATTGAGAAAATGAGCTGAGGAGCATCCACAAGAACCCCATGGCAAACTGCATCAAGGGCCTCCACGATCAATGCACCGAACATCATCGTATCGAATAATTTCTACATCTCTGGGGATGTTGCAATAAAGCATTCGCCCGATCGATCAGCGACCCCAATCTGGATATTTTGTACATGCACATGATAGCGGGGTGACTGCCCTCTGCTATTTCCCCAACTGCCAGGACTGCCACGCGATTGAATCCGCGCCTCAGAGATGGAACGCCTGGCTCGTGCCAACGCCATCAATCGCGCGCCTCCGCCAGGCTTTGCAAGACGAGCCGTCTCATTGACTATCCTGTCCGAGGGCCACGTCAGCATGCCCCCGCAAATGCCACAAAGCCCCCGGGCGTAGCCTGGTCGGCCCCGCCGCTGTCTTCCACGAGAGGGCGAGAGCCGCAGTCTGCAAACACTAGGGATGGAGCTTCGGCACATTGTCCCATCTCGCGCAGTCTGGCGGCAGCTCTGGTTGGTCCTCGCCACGGCAGTCCTGAACTTCACGTAACTGCTCAAGCTCGCGATCTGCAGGTTGACGCGGCTACCACGCGTCGGCGCGCCAAACTGCCTCTTCCCAGCCTAAACTCCTGAGCTGGCGGACAGCGATGAGCTGGCTCTGCGCCTGTATCCACATCTGCCGGGCACGCTCCGCCCCCTAACGATGAGGCGCCAACGCGTCATCAGCCTGCTCAACAGAGCCATCTGCGTGATCTGCCTATTCACGAAGGTATGATTAAGCGCGCAAGTGAACTCAACCACGCATTCGTCTGGGTACTGAAGTGCCTCGGACGCCTCATGCACCTGGCGTAGAAGTTGGCGACGTCCACCAGCGACCGTGCTAGCCTCTGGACTGGCGCGAGCGCTTCGCGGTTCACCATCTGACCTTCGCGCCCGCCGCGCCCGCGCCCCGGCGCGGCGCGCG